TCGTGTCGGTGCCGTTTCAGCTGCTCGCGGGCGCGCTGGCGGCGGCCGTGTACGCGGCCGTGGTGTCGCTCGCGCTGCGCTTCGTGCTGCCGCGCGTGCTGGTGCTCCATTTCCGCGGCATCCCGACGGTGGCGCCGGCGTACGCGGCCTCGTTTTTCGCGCTGCTGCCCACGGCGGCCGTCTTTGGCGGCGCCGCCAGCAAGTTCCTCTTTGCGCCGTACGTCACCACCGGCCGCAGCAAGGAGGACGACAGGATCCGCCAGTTCGACCCCGTTCGCGCCAGCCTCGCCGAGACTGTCTGGTGGAACGTCTGGGGATACACGCTGCGCGGCCGCATCGTCATCACGCGCACCGCCCTCGTCACTGGTATGACGGCCGTGAGCACCTTCCTTGCCTGCGCGGTCGCGATGGATGGCGTCACGGGTTGGGGGGCGGCCGCGTACGCGTTGGTCTGGGCGTCTGCGACGGCGGCCACGGGTCTTGCGCTCGGTCTTGTCGGTCAGGAATAACGTGGCTTGCAGGCTTTTGTGGCTCCAGGTGGTTGGTTGGTTGGTGTTGAGATGCTGGGAATTGCAGAGAAGACTTGGGATGTGTCGAAACATTGGGTTCATGTTCGACGAGCTAGGATAACGCTTATATACGAGGACGGTTTTAGTTTGCAACAAACATCAGGTATAATTATCAGGGAAATATTGGCTATTAGTGTCTATTTCTTATGGGCGAATTACGGGACTTATGCGAGGGAGTTTTTATACCCATAAGGTTTTTTTTTCTTTTGCGGTGGAGTAGAGGAAGTGTATTTAGTTGCTTCGTCAGTTGGCAATCTTTTGTATTGATCTGCTCTTCTCTCTCTTCCATGTGAAATCCCGTCCTCTCAGCCCTAGGCACCCTTGGATTATCCTCTCAGCCCGCTGCGGCTGCGCTGCAATGACCTAACAAGAGGGCCCCCTCTGTGACCTGTCATTCAGCCTTGCCCGGAGCTGGAATGTGAGAACGAGCCAGAGGCGCACTCTCATTGGGTCCTTTGGCAGAGACATTCTGCAGAGTAGAGGAGTCATTGTCAAGCCTCGTAATGAACCCCCTCCAGCAACATGGTGAATGGAAGGAGGTGAGCGGCCAACCCAATTGAGTATGATGTCGTCGGGCCAGCGCGGGACGTCCGACTACCAAATGTCATCAATGCACTAGTTATTACAACTCCCGAAATTCGCGCCGGGCTAGTGTTGAAACGATCAACCATTTCTGGAGTTGTCTCTCCTCCGTTTCGCCTAAATAGTGCCGAACCAGCAATTTCGGCTCGGCTTTCCCCTTGCACTAGAACGGTCATCCAAGCAAAAGGGCGTCCTTACTTGTTGCTATGAATGACCCATGGACGGAACAACAAGCCTGTCAACTTTGTTTCAGCTGCCTGGCGTCGGATCATCCAGACACCAAGAGCGATAGCCGACCACGAGGCTGACGGGTTGTTTTACGAACATTCTGTGTTAGCTGATTGGCCCCCGGCTTGTATGGATGTGCGGGGGGGTCTCGCCCTTTCGTATTTCGCATAGCTGTTGACGGGTGCGCGATCGACAAGCTGCTGCCTTGACAGGCCGAGTTTATTTTTACTTTTAATTTTAATTTTCTTTTTTTGCGGCGTGACTACGTTGACTAGACAGGTGGACTAAACGGCAACGGGTAAACGAGACTTGCGACCCGGACCCAAAGACCCTAGGCATGGCTATTTCCAAAGCACTGGGCAAGGAGAAGCCAAAACTAGTTTGGGATCACTGAAGCCGGGCGAGGTGTTAGCCTTGGCTGAAGGTGACGGGCAAGAATTTTTGTAGTTTTGTAAAGGAGAGCGCTGCCTTTTGGGTTTAACGCGGGAAAGGCCCAATACGTGTCTCTTTGTTTCTCACGGCATTTGCTCCGTGTTCTTCCTCACCCCTTGTACGCATTCATATTTCTTCGTTTCTCGTCTCTGGCCAGCTTCGACTATTGTTCGTATCTTGCGTATCTTTTTGCCCGGGACATGTGACCAGGGCCGTGTCATTCGCTGTGCATATCGGGCGATGTAGAGTCAGGGATCTTGCACCATTGTGACCGACAGAGTGACTCTTCAAGGCAGCCTTGCGGTCCGTCTGACCTACCTCGAGGCATCTGGCAGGAGTCTTGGCTCTTTGCGCCCTTGGGTGTTCTTTCTACGGAACATTGCAACTTGATACGACAAAGAGTATAGCGTCCGCGAAAGAAGCATATCGCAGCGAATTAGGCACTCGAGTTTCACCAGATAACCTTTGTGCCTGGAACTTCCAAACGCACACAATCTACATATAACTGCAGCACCCTCGGAAGGGAAAAAAAAGATGTACTCTCCAGAGCAAAATCCAGCATCGCTGAGAAACCAGTTTAATCCGCAAAAGGCATATCCTTCGCCAACGTCGTTGCCAAGCCCCGAAGTCGCCCAGTTCCAGGAATTCTCCCGTATACCGCCGCTCGCCCTCGACCAGCCCTCCTCGGCGTGGCCGGAGCAGCAGACGCGGTGCGCGGGCATGTGCGAGTACTTTCACCACGCGGGCAGCTCCATCACCGGCCATGTCTACGGACTCGACTTTCAGCGGTGCCGGAGCATCCACAGCGAGCACAGTCTGGAGCTGACCGGCCCGCTGGACGTGGCCGGCACCATCAAGGCGCGCAACATTCTCTTTGGCGGCGACTTCATCGTCAGCGACACAATCGACGCTTATGGAGACATTGAAATTAATGGAAACATGACGGCAGAGTAGGCAGACCCCTGTTTTTGTTCCGTGACAGGTGATTGAGTGCGGATTTGCTGATGTAGCAGTATAGAGGCAGAATAAAGGCGTTTGGGAACATTACAGTCAATGGCAATTTGACGGCGAGGTAAGCAAAACACACTGCGCTCTTTCATGGTTTGGCAAATCTTAATTCTTCTCGGGTTGGCAGTGGGAGAATTTCAGGATCCTCCAGGTTGAAGCTGCGCGGCAGTATTCACGCCGCAGATGTAGAGATTTACGGCAACGTCATCCTTCGAGGGTATTTGTAAGTGATTTTGCGCAAGCCCCGAGTAAACCGTTTACCAATGACCAGAACAGATACTGTCGCCGACTCGTCGTGTATGGCTCGCTCATGTTGATCGGACCCAGTTCGACATATGACGTGGCAGGTTACGAAATGGTGACGGGTTTACGTACCCGACGTGACCATGAGCCAGATTGGGATATCTGACGCAGTCGCACCCTTGTTTTCCTTTCAGGTGTCCTAAAGTAGTAGTAATTTTCATAGAGTACGGACGAAATTAGCCCGAGATTAGACTGACTATCATATGTAGCGTGAAGTATACGCCAGTGAACGAGGAATCGAGTCGGGGTAAAATCGTACTCGCACAGATTATGTAGTCTTATTCTTCCGGACGCGTCGAATCGTCGTCATTTTCTGGACGCACCAATTTTTCGTCATCTTGGGAATCCAAGGCTTGGCATAAGCGACACAGAATAGGCAGCAGCGCAGCCAGAGATGTCATGAGCGTCGTGCAAGTTGGCAGTTATGGAGCCGGCGAGGAGGCCGCCAACTGCGCCAGACAAGACGGCTGCCGTGTAGAAGAGGGCGAAGCGCTTGCCGAGCTCGGCGGGCGTGTACCAGCAGCTCAGCAGGTAGAGAACGCCCAGGAAGACGCAGCCGAGGACGAAGCGGAGGGCGAGCAGGGCGCCGCGGCTCTTGGCGGCGGCCATGGCGACGAGCATGATGGACGGCAGGAAGACGGAGGGCCGGCGCGGTATAATATACTGTTGCCCAGGTTACACAAGGATCTGAGACTGACTTTTGTACGCCCCCCCTGCACACACACCACGTGCCTGAGAAAAAACCCCGACCCCAACGCCTCATTCACCTCGAGAAGTCAATCTGCCAAGAATCAGCAAATGGATTCCAAAACTGCGACGCGAATCCTGTCTCAAGATGCATACTCCGTCACTCTGAATGGCCTTGGTATCAAACAGGCGTACGGTGCACAACTGCCCTCCAATTCTCCTTGCGAAGATCGTTACAATCGCGCTCAGTCGGTCCCCCTCTGGCAGGACGAGAAATGGGTTGGTGTTACGATCTTCGATGGCCACAACGGGTGCCAGACTGCAGAGCACCTCGAGAAGGAACTCCTGAAGGCGGTGCAGGCTAAATTGAACACACTCGAGCCCGAGTCACGAAATGACGAAGCAATCCAGCACGCAATTCAAGCGACGTTTACAGAGGTTGATAAAGCCATCATTACAGACTATACCCAACTCGCTCGAAATAAGGAAATGGCTCTTGCGGAAAAGGTGCCCTATATGGAGGTTGCGATGGCCGGCTCGTGCGCCCTGCTCGTGCTTTACAACCCCAAGACAAAGACTATATATACCGCTTGCACGGGCGACTCGAGGGCCGTTCTCGGACGACAGAATGCCGATGGTACTTGGCAGGTAGTGCCACTCTCAGAGGATCAAACCGGCGCCAATGAATCCGAGGCAGCAAGAGTCCAAGCAGAACACCCAAACGAAGAGGTTGTGAAGAAAGGGAGGGTTCTAGGCCTAGGTATTTCCCGCTCCTTTGGAAACTTTCGATTGAAATCGACACACGAGGACCAGGATGAGTTTGGCATGAGGTTTCTCCAAGGGGGGGCGCTGCCAAAGGACGACATCCCGACACCGCCGTACATCATCGCCACCCCCGTGGTGACGGTCACCAAGCTCGACGACCGCCCGTCCTTTGTCGTCTTGGCATGCGACGGCATATGGGACAACTGCGAAAACTACGAGGTGGTTGATCTCGTCGTGCGGTGGCTGGAGGCGCTGCCGGAACGCACGCTCGCGGACATGGGTTGGACGCTGCGGCTGACGCCGGAGACGGTGTGGTGGAAGAAGGAGCCGCCGGCGCCGGCCGACTACCCGCCGGGCTTTGACTTTCTCGAGCGCTGGAACAATGTGGATGTCCGCTTCCGGCAGGAGAGGGCCGTCATCGAGGACCTCGACAATGTCGCCGTGCACATCCTGCGCAACGCCTGCGGCGGCAACCATTGGGAGCTGCTGAGGGCGAGGCTCACGTACAGGCCGCCGTTCTCGCGATATGTGCGGGATGACTTGACGGTCCAGGTCCTGTTCTTCTAAGGACCGAAGTAAAGGGGCGTTGCTGGGTGGTGTACATGGTGCATAAATATCGCGGTCGAAAGATGAAAAGGGGAAGCAGGCAAGGAGGAAGAGAAATCAAGGTGTTGTTTCTCTCGTTTCTCTCACTGTCGATTTATAGAGTGTGGCATATACTAACCTATATAGAACTCCCTATTATAGAACTATTATTCTATGGAGACTAATAAGATACAGTATTATTTTATAACTTGAAATAAGATAGCCTTGGAGCTAGGAAATAGGATATATAAAGGAACTATTTTTCCCTTGTAGCTTTATTTAATTATTTAATACAAGGCTAATTTCGTTATTATCTTTACTTTTTATTATTCCTTTACAAGCTGTGTTAGCTACGCTGCTATCTTATACAACCATAACGACGCTCCATAATAATAATACTCCCCTAGAGATCAGATGAACTTTTGATCGAGCGGTCTTCTGTCCGCTCTCGATTCCCCCATGGGGAACTTGTCTCGGAGAAATCTGCACAACGCGACCCCGTAGCTGCGCAATGCTTACTTTTGGTACAAAGGGTCTGTAATAAACCCGTAAACTCAGCTGTGCTTGTACATGTCATGCACAACAGCCTCATCACTCAACCCGGCATCTGGTTGTTGAGGGCGTCCAAAAAGTTCAGCCCGTAGTTGTCCTGGTTCAGCGGCGTCTGCTGCCCCAAGTCGCCGTTGCCAAACATCCACACGTTCCAGTCCGGCCACATCTCGCCTTGCGACCAGACTTGCTGCTGCTGCTGCTGCTGCTGCTGCTGCTGCTGGGCGGCCGCAGCCAACTGCTCTGCGTCGTCGGCGCCGGCGGGCCGCTCGCGGTGATGGTGCTCCTTGAACTTGTCCAGCATGCTGCCGAGACCGCTGCCGAGATAGTGGGCGACGTGTCGGACGCAGGGGCGGGTGGCGTTGAGCACGGCAATGGCGCCCTCGATGAGCGGCACGACCTCGTCGTAGCTGATGCTCAGGTTGGCCGACTGCCACTGGGCCTGGCACTTCATCAGAAACAGGCACGCGTAGGCCATGGTGGTGAGCAGGTACAGCGGCACGCCAATGATGGAGGCGCGCATGTCCGGGTCGTTGAGGATCAGGTCCAGCGCGGCCGTGGCGCTGGCAATGGCCTTGTTGACGAACTGGCGGCGCTCCGGCGACATGGCGTACACGCCCGACGGCCGCAGGCCGCGCAGGCAGATGGAGAAGAGCAGCAGGCGGGCAAAGTGGTAGTGCAGAAACACGCCCTTGGCCGGATACTGCGACACGTACTTGTTGGGCTCTGTTCATGGATTGTGAGTTGCCGCGCGTGATGAGTTTGCGGTGCGAGAGGTCAAGATGGTGGCACACGTACGTAGCTTGTCCTTCCAGCGGTCGCGCCAGAAGCCCATGTCGGCGTCGAAGCGGCGCAGCGCCTCGAACTCGTCGTTGCCAATCATGCGCGACCGGTCGGGCCCAAAGGCGTGAAAGACGCGGCTGAGGATGATGAAGATGCCGACCTGGCTGTGCAGGCGGTAGTCGGACTGGGTGGCGTCTGGGCGCTGCAAGAAGTGCTCGTGGCAGGTAATGGTGGGCGTCTCGCTAATCACCGGCGGCCGCCCGTAGGCGATGCTGAAGTGGTGGTCGCAGACGTAGAGAAAGTACCAGAGCCGGGCCTCGTCGCCGTAGCGGGCGGCGTTGTTGTCGCGCAGGGCCTTGGCGCAGAACTGGTGCAGGTTGAGCTCGGTGGCGATGCGCACGGCGAGGCCCGACAGCTTCCAGCTGAGGTCGGAGAGCCAAAAGGCGCCGATGCAGAGCCCGCGCACGTCGTCGAGCGTGTGGTACCGGTCAAACACGGCCTGGCTGACGAGCTCGAGGAAGACGGGGTAGCAAATGTCAAACGCCCGGCCCGAGTCCTGCGTGTGCAGCGACGTGACGGCGAGGATGGCGGCCGTGAGGATCGACGACGAGGCGCGCGCCCCCGCGAGCGTGTCGTGCACGAGCGCGATGCCGCCCCAGAGGTACGCGTTGAGCGTCGCGCGGAACGTGTCGAAGAGGTGCTCGGCGTCGCGGAGGCTGACGCGGCCCTGCGCGACAAAGTCGGCTTCGGGCAGCGGCGGCGGCGGCGGCGGCGCGAGGGTTGTTGGGTCGCCGTCGCCGGTGTGCTGCCGGTCATGGCGGTGATGCGCCCAGGGATCGCTGCGGATGTTGCGCAGCTTGGTCGCTTCAAAGAGACTCGCCATCGGCGCGTTGACAATGGCTTGGTGGTCGCTGTCGGGCGCCCCGGGCTCGAGCGAGTTTTCCCTCGTCATGGCCGTCGTCGCGGTGCGGTGAAGCGATGGCGAGAGGCTCGCGTGCGCGCCGCCGCCGTGCTCGACCGGCGACGGGCCGGGCAGCGGATGCTGGGGACCGGCAGCGGCGACGTGTGAGATGGACGTATGCCGACTGTCTGGTGTTGTTGTTGTGTGGCCGCCGTTGGCGACGACGACGACGCCGCCGACGTTGAGCGCGCGCTGCACGTCGGCCAATGCCGTTTGCAGGGCCTCGACCTTGGCCTCCATCTGCGTCTTCCACTCATTCTCGCCGTCGAGCAGCGTCTGCAGGCTCTTATTAACGACGCACTTGAGATCCAGGCGCGTGCAGCGGCCGCACCGATGCTGGCCAATCTCGAGATCGCACTTGACCTTGCGATGCTGGCAGGCCTGGCCTATGTATCCGATTCCACGCGTTTCAAGTTAGTGATTTGTTTTCTTCCCAGAGTAGAAGCGCGCCCCTAATTTTTTTTTCGGTATTTTTTCTTTTCGTTTGCGCCAATTAAAAGAGGAAAAAAAAACACAATAAACCTACAGGCTCGTATTTTCCGCGAAATCTTGGGCTGGTGCGAAGCGCTGCCGTCGGCATCACCAGCCGGCGGCGGGCTTGTCTCCGGCGACCTCGCCCGCTTCATCGTTGCCAAATGCCTGTGGAGTCGGCAGGATGGAAAACCAAATTGTTCATGTACTGGGCATGACCGAGATTTGGTTCGACTTGTGGAATAAAGGCCGCCCCTAGTTTGTCGTTACCCCGTGTTCAACGAACTTAGTAAAGGTACTTGGCGGGGATGCGGGAGGCGGCCAGACGTCGCATGAGCAATGCGGGTTGAGACGGTGGGGAAACCACGATCCCTGTCAAGCTAGAACAGCCTCTCGCAAACTAGACATTACCCATCGGCATCATCTCCGCGACCCTGGTTGCCTGGCTGAGAGCTGTGGCAACAGACTAGTTGATTAGCCTCAGAAGCGTGAGCGTGACGTGACGGCTGCGGCTGGCATGCCGCTCCCATTTCTATATTTACAAGAGTTTTATAAAGTCACTGTTGTTGCTGCCATGTATCGAGCTCGTCTTGATCCTCAGTCCTTGGTCCCCTCATTCCAGTCGTCACAATGGCTGGTGCTACTACCATTGCTCTGATAGCCAGCAACAGCCCAGACATTGACTGGTATATCCATGCTCTGCAAAATTCAGTCTCTACTACTATCCAACAATTTTCTCCCCATTCTCTTGTGTCGTGTGCTGCCTCTGACCCCCAATGGCATCCCTTGTCAGGTCGGAACACAACCCTGTCATTTTTACGTTGGGAACTAATAATAAGCTGACAAGGTGGCTTTTAGGCCTCCCGTGCGATTCCTTGATCCTCGTCGCCGAACCAGTGACGGAATCTTTTTACGAAAACCTGGAAACGGCCCTGACAACACGGGATAGAAGGGACTTGCACGTCATCGCCCTCTCCGTGTCTCAAAGATCCATCTTCGTTGCCGGACCAAGACATGCAGTCCACGCCCAGTTACCATTGCTGCAGCGCCCAGGCATACCTGTCCATCATGTGGCCGCCGAATTCGCCGCGGCCGCCAAACTGCGGCTCGTTCACGACCACCTGCTCGCGGTCCACACCGTGGCGGCGGCAGAGGCCATGGGACTCGCCGCCCGCGCCGGACTCAACACCAGCCAGGTGTACGACATCATTGTCACGGCCGCGGGCCACTCGACGGCCTTTGCAACCAGAGTCCAGCAAATGCTGGCCGGCGACGCGACACCCAGCGCTGCTACGCTGGACCACACCGCGGACAGACTGGTACGCTCCCCTTTGCCCCTCTCAGCTTTCAGCTTCCCTCGCTTCTGACACGACAGTCGGAACCCCCAAGACCGATGTGGTGGGCCGGGCGCGCGACCTGCGTTTGCCACTGCCCCTCGCCTCTGCCGCGCAGCAGCTGTACGTCATGGCTGCCGCTCTGGGACACGGCGCCGCCGATGACTCTGCGCTTCGTCGGGCCTACATGCCCACCGACGCCGACGCCATCAGCGAAGCGACCACACCCACCAATGAGCTTACACCAAACAGCAGTCCCGGCGAGATTGCCTCGGTCGGAATGGTGGGCTTGGGCGCCATGGGCCAGGGCATGGCTGCGTCGCTGCTGCGCGCTGGCTATGCCGTCAACGGCTTCGACGTCAACCCCGCCGCGGTCCGTCAGTTTGCGTCCCGTGGTCCCAAGGCACGAGCTGCGTCTTCCGTGGCGGATGCCGTGAGAAACTCTGCCGTCGTTGTCCTCATGGTCCAGAATGCGGCGCAAGTCGACGACATCCTGATTGGATCGGGCAACGGAGCCGAAGCCTTGGCTGACCACGCCGTCGTCATTCTGAGCTCGACAGTGCCACCCTCTTTTGTGCGCACGCTGGGAGCGCGGCTGCAAAACCTGGGACGAGGAATATCGCTGCTGGATGCCCCCGTAAGCGGAGGCGTCGCACGTGCCGCGAATGGTACACTTGCCGTACGTTGCTGGGTCGGCGTTGCGCCACTTGTCTTACACCTCAGCTAACACCCCAGGACCCTGGGCGATAGATGATCTGCTCGGGACAGGAATCGTCGCTCTCCAAGAGCAGGGCCGTCCTGCTCGCCATGGCCGGCCGCGCGACCAATCTGCACACGGTACGGGGGGGGCTGGGCGCGGCCTCGTCGGTCAAGCTCGTCAACCAGCTCCTGGCCGGCGTGCACATTGCTGCGGCAGCCGAAGCCATGGCGCTCGCCGCCCGCTTGGCATTACCTACTAGGGTTGCATTGGAGATCCTAATACAGACGGATGCATGGAGCTGGATGCTGGAGAATCGGACACGTCAGATGCTCGACGCAGACTGGACTCCGCACTCGGCCCTCGCTCTTTTTGTCAAGGACCTGGCCATGGTCCTGGACGAGGCCAGGCGCCTCGCTTTCTACGCTCCGATGGCTGCGGCCGCCCATACCCTCTACCTCCACGCCGCGGCTCACGGCTGGGAAAAGGACGCTGACAGCAGCGTCGTGCGTCTCTGGGAGCTGACAGGCCTCTCCGTCTCCCGCTGCGCTGGCATGCCGACCGAGACAGCATCATCATCATCATCAGCAGAAATGAACCTGCCGCGACTGCCCGCAGCGAAAACACTGGCGTCGCTGCCGCCGGAATATCCAGAAGAGGTGCTCAGCTCCATCCGACACGTGGTGGAGGGCGGCCAGGTCCCGACGCTGGTCATCCTGGACGACGACCCGACCGGGACGCAGACCTGCCACGACATCAACGTCCTCGCCGTGTGGGACGCGGCGACGCTGGAGCGCGAGTTCCGCTCCGACCCCGCCGGCTTCTTCATCCTGACCAACTCGCGGGCGCTGCCGCCGTCCGAGGCGCGCCGTCTCATCGTCGCCATCTGCCACAACGTCAAAGCCGCCGCCGCTACGACGGGCCGGACGTTTGCCGTCGTCCTGCGCGGCGACTCGACGCTGCGCGGCCACCTGCCGCAGGAGCCGGAAGCCGTCGAGGAAGCGCTGGGCCGCTTCGACGGCTGGGTGCTCGCGCCCTTCTTCTCCCAGGGCGGCCGCCTGACCATTGACGACGTGCACTACGTCCACGAAGCCGACGTGCTCGTCCCCGTCAGCCAGACGCCGTTTGCCCAGGACGCCACCTTTGGCTACCACCACGCGAACCTGCGCCGCTACGTCGTCGAAAAGTGCGGCGCGCGCTTCGCCTCCCCCTCCGCCTTTCTGTCCATCACCCTCGACGACATCCGCCGCGGCGGCCCCGCGGCCGTCGCCCGCAAGCTGCTCTCGGCGCCGCCCGGCAGCGCGGACCTGGTCGTCATCGTCAACGCCGTCGCCGACACCGACATGCACGTCTTCGTGGCCGGGCTGCTGGACGCGGAGCGCCGCGGCCGGCGGTACCTGTTCCGCACG